ACGGCATACCATGCGATAGCCTCTGGTCACATATGTACCTGACATGTAATTATAAATATACCGTGAGTTAGCGGACTGTGGAATGATGTCCAAAGTGTACATGACTGAGGGTAATTTGGTTCCATTAAAGAACAATAAATTGATAATTTTGATATCATATTTTTGATTTATTTCCATCATTTTTGTTAAATGTAAACAGAGACAACTGTCATTGTCTAAATGTCATCCCTCTGCAAAAAGTTCCGACTTTTTTCAAGGAAGATAACTCTCACCCGGATCAAAGTGATTGTAAAATGTAAAATAAATTAATTATTAAGCCGTTGTGTATATTTTGTTCATATTCCCATTCTATATGTATAGATTTTTGTGTCCTGTTTGCTTTTAGCTTGTAGCTAATCACTTTTATCCGTACAAATTCAATAAAAAAACTGTGTTTAACATGTGTTACATATTTTGCGATAAATAAAATATTTGTAGGGTTAATTAGAAATGCTCCTTTTCATTTTATTATTGCTGTTATTGTTCCGAACAATGCCACACACACAAAAAACGAAAAATATTAAAATTGACGAAAATTCAATTTCTTTGGTATTTTTTCCAAAAAAGTCCCCAAACCATCGGAATGTTTAGATTTTCATAAAATCAACTCTACATAGTTGCATAACCATTATATGAAAGTTTTAACGAATTTTGCTGGGTAATTGCGAAAGTGTGGAGCCACTTAATGTATCACAATTAAGCTGCAAAAGAAAGTGCAAACTATGATGAAACTAATAATATTGCAAATTAATTTGTTGTTGAAATATTATGCTGGAACCATATAAGTCTAGAGTACACGTACCAGAAAACGTAACTCTATATAGTTTCCATAAATCTTTTGCCATATTTCTCCATCATTGAACAATCTTTCTTTTGTCAAAACTATTATCATGAATGTATTTTTTAGGAAGAAACATGGAAACTGCATTTGAGTATTATTTACAGTATTAATCAGGTGCTGCATTGCAATTCATGTACATGGAGATAAAACAAGTCAATTTGGTTATTTCAATATAAATACATATCCTGTAGGGTACTGATGGTTCGTGTTATATTCATTCTTGTGTGAAGTCCAGTCAAATATCGATCAAGACATATCGTCTGCTTACACATATATCTAACACAAAAAAGGTAAGGAAAAGTCAGGAGGTTACTGTCATTTTTTGTAAAATTTTAAAAATTTACAGTCTTAAGTATGCAAACATGTAGCATACCTTCAAAAGTTGAATTTAGCTATAACTTAGATATACATCTTAGCAAAGAGAATGCATCATTGGTATTTTTTCTAATTTTAAACTCCTGTGAGAAAAAAATACCATCGTTAATATGGATTGAAATTCAAAAAAAAAAATACAAATACAAATAAAAAATAATACTAATATCAAGATGTTCTAAAATTGCGTAATCACGTTAAATATTATTCATATGTGACAGCCATAACATTGCCATCTTCTCAAAAAACTTTGAATACATTACTTATTAAAATTACTCACATTATGTGTACTTATTAGATATAAATGTACTTCGCATTTTTAGTTATACACAATGTATTACAGTTTAAACTAAATCAGGTGTAATGCAAACTTTGCAACCTTATGTATATACATTGGTCATTTAAATAAATGACAATTATCGGCCACACATCTTTCTTATTCCTTCATAACCAAAACGAGCAAGCTGTGCCTGTGGAACTGATGACTCTCTAGTCTTAGTGACTATTAATGGACAACACACATATATATATATAGTAGATAATAAATAAATAAGTCCTTGCGAAGGAAAATATAGAATAAAAACATTTTTTTTAGATCGTCCCCTATATATATATATAAAGATACAATACATTTCCCATGAGAGATTGTTTTGCATCTAACTAAATATCCTTAAAACATTTCGATGGTTTTTTTTAAATGATAAAAGAAAATCGCCTTACCTGACGTCAATAAGGAATGGCTGTAAACTATTGAGTTGTCTAAACAAGAACTGTTTATTTATACACAATACGACAGATTTGTATTACATACCCTTTTTTCCTGGAACTGCTGCTTCATAAATACAGTTATCTTTGCACTGTAACGTCTCCAATATGACGTCATATCCTTCAGTATACAAGGAAAACCTACAAGTCGTACATGTTGTTGACAGGGTACTTGGCCCTTTGTGCACTGTGTACATTGTTTGCCCGGTACATGATACCATTACTCGCCAGCACTATGGTGAAGAACGCGTAACCAATTTCACTATTTAAACATTATTCTTGCCATGTACGCAAGAAAGTCGCCACACATCTTACAACTGAGGGTACTACATGTACTATGTACCTGTATTTCTGTGCTGCAATTAAATAGATAACTCGCGAAAACAAATTTAAAAAAAAAACACGTTGATAATTAATCCTATCTTATAATTTTTGTGTGCTTACAATCTTCCATTACACAATACGGATATCGGTCATAGGTTATGACTGACCACCAAGTGTTCACACGGACAGTGAGAATTTAATATTAAATAAGGTACCGCAACCTGATATCTTTACGGCATGGTATAACAAAGTTGTATGTTAATTACATCATACTTAAGTGATCATTAGTTTTCTTTTTCAACCTAATTTAAAAATGAAAAAAACACCTTAAGTTATATAAACTCTTTAGTCTCTTTAAAATATACTCAAGACTGGTATCAGATGGGGCTCAATGCTCGCGAACAATGTGTAATTGACCAGATATTATCTTAATGTTTGACGAGAGACACGTATTTACGTTCTTGGTAGCCGCACACGTAATTACGTTCTTGGTAGCCGCACACAAACCTTTAACCAGGAAGAACAGATATAAACGTGTGGAATATCTTCCTTTACGATCAGTCATAACACAGAGTCTGATTGGCTTGGCGGTGAACTGCGTGGTAGTCAACTTAGATCATGTTCCCGCCGATTCACAGAACTAAAATCCAAATATGGTGTGTATGTCAGATGGTAGTGTGATATCATAAAGAATTACATAATAAGATACATGTAATTACGTACACACCCATACTATTAAACCGGAAGAATAGTTGTCAAGCATATCTCCAATTATATGATTCACCATTCACATACACCGTTTTAGAAAATTACTCCACCAAAACGGCCGCTTCCTTGATACGCTATTCTGCAAAAGTACGCATTAACGAAACAAGTAATGACTGTTCTAAAAACGCTTAGATTTGCATACATTTGCTTGAGTATTTATTTATATATTTTTCTTTTATTTGCTTTTTTCGAAAGGAGAAAACCTTAAAAGGGTCAAAGTTCGTTGGTCCTGTCATTACATACATACTCACTTTCATTGGCTCTGTACGGAGAACCAAGCACAGTGTATATTTGATACTAGTAAGACAGTTAAGGTTGCCCATTTGTTAAAACACGTCAATTTTAGCCATTCCTGATATTCGCACTTTGTTTCAAGGCCTCAAATTTGTTACCGATATTCCGAAATATGTAAAAAAAAAAATGCTACATCTAAAATTCAATATAGATAGAATAATGTTAGTATTGTCCACAACACGAGAACAGGACGTAAAAACGTTCTTTTTTTTAGATAAGCGTTATTTTCACCCTTTTCAACAATAAACATAAACATTTAAAAAAGTAAATCCTGAAGCATTTTTCTATAAAGAGCTTTTCACTCAATAAAATTGTAATACATACTACCGCAATTGAATGAATGTTCACTTTCATTTGTTAAGAATGGTTGAGTAAAAATAAATAGAAGTTCTGAGATCTGAAGGTGTTTTCATTCAAATCTTCATAAACAATATTATTTTTAATATGACAGCTACATATACTTCAAAACTAGTGAAGGTTGATTTGGTGTCATGTTGTAACGGATAGAAGGACTCAAAACCTAAAGTTCGCTTCAAAATAATCTACACATAAAGTCAACCGACTGATAAACCATACGGTAAATGGTGCGTCTACAGAAGTTATTTGTTGACGATACGTTTATTTTGATACTTCAGGGCTACATTGGTGGCAGTAAGAATGTCCTGAGGTAGATACATTATTTTTTCTCATGAGTCGTATTTATTGCAATTGTTGGCGTGAAGTAACGGGCTCCAAACAAAGTATTTCACTTATTTCCATTCTCTTTTCTTCCATCATAGTCTTATAAATAGAAAATGACGCTACAACTTAGTAAGCGCTCCATTCATACTACCGTAGACATTGCATGCCGTCAAAATGGAGGTCAATACTTTTATTCGCATAAACAAAATTTAAATGCTACATATAGGAAGAAAAAAAACCAGTCGAAGTGGGTTGCTACGACGGTATCTATGGTAGCCTTGGATATTCGGATATTATGGTTCCAGAAAATCTACAATGATATTTGATTTGGCCTCCGTATAAATAATGTCATGTAAGATTTTCCACTGAAAATCGGTACATTTCCTGTTTGCTATAGACGGATTTAAAGAAGTCAAAAGTTTAACCCTATTGATGTCATTATTTTGATATACAGCTATCGTTTGTATTGTTTATTGAGACAAAAAGTTCTTGTTCAAATTAATTCTTTCAATATTTTATTTTATTCAATTTCTGGAATTCCATGTTAAATCGATTTTAGTTCTTGTACAGAAACCAATGTTACATGAAGAAAATTGCTTCCATGACAAGTGGAAATTAAGATATTCAGTTATCTTAAAATCGTAACTTCTTTAATTCTTGAGAATTCATAAAATAATTTCTGTCTTCACTCCATATGTCTTTTATTTTCATTATGTCCCCCAAACAAAGTTTGGGGACATGTTGTTTTTGCTCCGTTTCTTATTAATATTCTTATCATTTTTATTATTCTTATTTCTTCCGCCGACGCGGTTTCCGACATTTTTCTCAAAACCCGTAGGGCGGAATTCAACTAAACTTCACATGAGTGTTCGTGAATGACAGGCGGTGCGCAAGAGTATTTTTGTTTTTCGATCGTTCAACCGACTGGTCAGCCGGACGGCGGCCTCTAATCGGATTTTGATGAAAATTGGTTTATTGGGATATAAGGGGACTGTGAATTCAACCGCAAAGGTTTCGTTGCCATAGCAACGATATAGCAACCACACGAAGGCTTCTGATTGGTGGAAATTTAGATATTGTTCGATTTTGATGAAAATTTGTATATAGGATTATAAGGGGACTGCGAATTCAACCGTTTATGTTTCGTTGCCATAGCAACCACATGGAGGCTTCTGATTGGTCGAAAATTGGTATATAGGGGTATTAGGGGACAACATAAACACCGCATACGTTTCGTTACCATAGCAACTACACGGAGGCTTCTGATTGGTCGAAATTTAGATATTAATCAATTTTTATGAAAATTGGTATATAGGGATATTAGGAGACTGTGAAGTCAACCGCATAGGTTTCGTTTTCATAGCAACCACACAAAGGCTTCTGATTGGTGGAAATTCAGATATTGTTAGATTTTGATGAAAATTGGTATAAAGGGGTATAAGGGGACTGCGAATTTTACTGCATAGGTTTCGTTGCCATAGAAACCACATGAAGGCTTCTGATTGGTCGAAATTTAGAAACTGCTCAATTTCACTGAAATGTAGTATACATACATTGTATGTGTACTATGGCAGTGCGATCCTTTTCTGATGCATCTTTGCGACTATGGGGGCAGTTAGGGGGACATCTGTAATGGTCCCCCATCACAATTAGTACTTGTTATATTTGATTTTGTCCATTTGTTTTCTTAGAAGATCTTTCTTGAATGTTATATTTATGTTCCAAAATATAGTTTATTAATTTTTTGATTTTTTGTTTTAATCAAACGACGTTTTATTATAATCTGCCAACCTTGAAAATAAATCATATAGATTTGTAATTCTAGTGAATCTGCATTTTTAGATTTACACAAAAAGAAACTTTGAGATGAGGTAGTATCATAATTTTTAAGTCAGTATTTCCAAGATGCGTTCCAGCATTGTAATTCTGAGAGAATGATCTATTTAACATCCTTTAACCTCCCCATTGAATTCAATGGAGATAAATCATTTTCAATCAATCAATTGTGATTCCTCTATAACATGTTTCTATTGCAACTTGTTTTTCCATTACATTTTCACAAATGTGTGTAAATTGTTCTAATTATGGTGATATTATGTTCCTATGGTAATTGTCATATTTGATAGTAGAGCGTATTAATTATTTTATTACAAGAATTATTCCTTGAAGTGTAAGATTTCGTTTTTTCCAAAAATGTATGGTTGATTCAATTTTCTTATTTTGTCTTCCCAAATGTTAAATGTCATCCAAGTTTATTCCATAATCATACACTATCCAAAGATCCTTCATTCTATCTACCCAAGTAATTTCCTTAAAGTTAGGAGGTCTTTTTGTCATGTACCTATGTACATATACTCTGTTTTTGTTTATTTATTTAAGCTCCAGATTACTTATCGTATTGGTTTAAAACTTTGATGATTATTGAAATAGATTTTCCTTTCCTAGCAAATAATTGGGAGTCGTCAGCAAACATATTAATTTTGGTTTCAATTTTTCCATTTTTATTATAAGGAATAACAATTCCGTTCATTGTTATATTTTTCCTCATGAACCTTACCATTTGCTCAGCGTGGATGTTTTAAATGAAAGGTGCTATTAGGCGCCCTTGTTTTACGGAACGTGCTTACTTAAATTATTTTGAAATAAAACCATTTGTAAGAATATAACAAGATGATTGATTATATGTTATTTTAGTCCGTTCTATAATTACTTTCCAAAATTCAATTTTTCTAGAACGCATTTCTTCCCATTCCTATTTCAACCGATCAAACGCCTTTTGTTGATCTAAATAATATTTTTTGTTTTTCTTCATTTGAGTACTCTATAATATCGTGGATTCGACAAATACTGTCTTCTATGTTTCTTCCCTTTACAAATCCCTTCAGGTCACTATGACTACAATTTTAAAGTTCCCATTCTTAATGTGTTCCTCCCCACTTGTTTACTTGTCATATCCGCCTATTCGAGGTTTAAGCATAGACATAAAAACTGCAGGTAATACAACGATATTTGTAAACCTTTTCATACATGTACTTACCAACCCGAAGAAATTGTTAAGATAAACATGGGAATGCTGTAATGTCTAGATCACTATCTCCATATAACTATCTGCTTTCATTCTACTTTCAGACCACGCACTTAGAAATTATAAAATAAGAACAAATATATCGACATAAAATATCAAATTAAATGCAACCTAATTGCATTTCTACGGGAAAAGACGGGACTGTTGATGTCTGGATGGATACCATGAAATGAGTGTTTAAGGTTTAAAACCAAATGCTTACAAACTGAATGTCTTTTTATATATTTACCTCTTTTTAAGCTGATTACCCTGTATCGTACTCGTCACCGAAATGTCAAACTAGACATAATCATAACCTTGTTACTTTTCATACATGTACTTACCAACCCGAAGAAATTGTTAAGAAGATCACTATCTCCATATAACTATCTGCTTTCATTCTACTTTCAGACCACACACTTAGAAATTATAAAATAAGAACAAATATATCGACATAAAATATCAAATTAAATGCAACCTAATTGCATTTCTACGGGAAAAGACGGGACTGTTGATGACTGGATGGATACCATGAAATGAGTGTTTAAGGTTTAAAACCAAACGCTGACAAACTGAAAGTCTTGTTATATATTAACCTCTTTTTAAGCTGATTACCCTGTATCGTACTAGTCACCGAAATGTCACACTAGACATAATCATAACCTTGTAACTTTTCATACATGTACTTACCAACCCGAAGAAATTGTTAAGAAGATCACTATCTCCATATAACTATCTGCTTTCATTCTACTTTCAGACCACACACTTAGAAATTGTAAAATAAGAACAAATATATCGAAATGAAATATCAAATTAAATGCAGCCTTATTGCATTTCTACGGGAAAAGACGGGACTGTTGATGACTGGATGGATACCATGAAATGAGTGTTTAAGGTTTAAACGCTGACAAACTGGATGTCTTTTTATATATTAACCTCTTTTTAAGCTGATTCGACGCCTTTGTAAACTGAACGTCTAGAGATGCTTCCAGGATCTGGTTGTCGGTACGCTGTTGTAGTTACTTTAATTACTCCAACTTTGACGGTGACAAAAGAAAAAATATATTTCAAATGATTTGTTCAAGTGCCATTTGATGAAAGAGAAGCTGTCCGTGAAATGCATGGGGCCAGCTAAGCACGTTTATGTCACGTTGTTCTAAAACAACTGGTCGACCGTGACAATAAATCAATTCACGATATGGCAATATACCGTCTGAATTCTGATAATTCAATTCAAATATCAATAGAGTAGTTTGGTACTTCACAGCAGAGAACTATAAAACATAAATATGTATTTCATTACGACTTACAAAAGAGGCCGTAATTGAACTTTATAGTTTGGTTATTTGATAAGGCCTTAACAACCAAAATGTTTGCACAGGAAAAATACATGTAAAAAATGTTCTTATAGGACTTAAGTTTGATTTAAATTTTAACTTTTTAGATATTAAAATATGTGTGCATAATCAATGTAACATGTCCTTAGGTCTGTACTAAGGAATGACCTTAACCAATCTTCAAGGTCACAAAGGTCAACTGTTTTAAAATCTACAAATGATTTCTATCAAAGATCCATAAGATCTTTTGTAATATGATATTTGTCATATACCTACAATGTAGTGGAAATAAAGGGTTATTAGATTTGTTCAATGGAATTGCTTTAACTAAAGTTCAAGGTCAGATTGGTGAAATGTGCTAACATTTATTTACATAACTTCTCTTTAACTTTCAAAACATATAAGAAAATGTGTTGGACTTGGAGATTGCTGTTCTAAAGACCTATCAAGTTTGTCCTTATGCATGAAATCGACCTACTTTACTGATAAGCTATTGTGTAAAATTTTCCTCAATGAAAGATCCATAAAGGTTAGCTCAAGTAGTTATTTTGAATACCTTTTAGGGTTTGATGAATAATTATTAAAAAAAAATCACCCTAAAGTCTGAAATAGTTTTATTTTGATTGAACGTTGATAAGAAAGCTAGTCACGGTTGCTCAAAGTTTGGTTTACTTTAACCAGCGGTTAGTGAAATTAAGGGCTTTCAACGAAATAATAAATCTTCAACATCAATCTGATATGTCGCTTCAAATATTAAGCAGTAAAATAATATCAGAATTTCACTTTTTTTTTTGTATTCCTATTTGATTTTTTAAAACTGTTTACCTTTAACCAAGCTTTGTGCAACTGAGACATGGCTGTCAAATTCAACAAATACCTAAACCCATCAAAAAATCACATGCATGACAGTAATATATACTTTTATACTCCACAAATGTTTAAAATATACTCCATAACATTTAAGTTGTGGAGTATAATATTTGAAAAATACTATTGCTATATTCAACCTTGACTTACTTTCGAAGTCACAGATTTGAGATGACCGTTTTCATGTTTTGGGGGTTTTGTTTTGTTTTCTTTTTCTTACATCTAATAGGAATACATTTATAAAATCGTGTATTCAAGTTAAGGTGCAAAATTTATATAATGTGAAAATACACCATCATCATGATCAAGAAACCGAAATATCACATCACTAGACGTTGATATAAAAAGAAAACAATAAAATAATATCTTGGTTATGCTGGTTTTATTTTATTTATGTTTTCAACATTATATGGGAATAAAATGGTCAACAAAATGTTAAGTACAAAATTTAAAATAATATGTTGTATATCAACACATCGTACAAAATTCATTTTAAAGATACAAAGAACGAGACTCAGAAAACAGAAAGTCCAAGAACATGCAACACTAGCTATTTAGAGGACATACCGTAGTCCTTATAATCTACATGATACAATGCATAACACATGCATTCCATTCTATGTATTCTGTCATAAATATATAAATCCATTTTAAATGCAATGCGTGTTAAGTATTTGAACCGACAAAAGTGAATCTTGTGTTCATTACACCAAGGCCGAAATATAGTTATTTGGTTATGACGCCATTTCTGTAATTGTCAATGTCTCGTTTTGTTTTTCGCTTAAAAAAACACCATGAATAGCTTTGAAGCAAATATCGAAGACAGGAAAACAATTTATTCGTCATTGACGTCCTGACACAGGCAACGCGTAATAGAATGTACCAAAATCCGTTCGTCTTAATCTTAGATCGTCATTTTATCATTTATTTCGCTGAATAGATATACTTCAGAGTGCCATTTACAACGTTATGGACATTAAAATCAATCTTATCTCAGAATGAATGTGTATTTTACCACCCAAATCGAACTTTAGAGGCTACACAATAAACAATTTTGCTGTTTCAAATTGCATTAAGAATTGTAAATATATTAATACAAATATAACTAATATCATATCCATACAGTAAAAGCTATTTAGATAAAACAAAACACATCTTGTACATTTCATTTTGATTTTTTTTTCTCTTATCAAAAATCATATTTGATATCAATCCTATAAAAAAAGTTATGAAAGTACATGTTAGTCATCGTTAAAACGTAAAGTATACAAGAGCCATTTTATTTTAACCATAAGATATCTTTACCCATCAGAAATTACTCAAATAAAACAGTTATTAAATAAATAAGTAATAAATAAAACAAAAAACAAGATGATAACCTTTTCCATTAGTATTTGTAAATCATACTTGATATCATTTAAACGATTGGTTATTGGAATAATGACGAGCCCTTCGTTTCATAAATCACCTAAATAATAAAAATAAAATAATTCCAAAAATACATTAATATACATGTATATCAAAAAATAATATGTTGGGACGAATCTAATAATGCGACGTTAAACGCGACTTCTAGATATTATTATAACTGTTAATTCCATCTTACCCATTGGACGGTTATTACACCATTCCCCCATTCACAATTACTAAAATTTCACAAATTTTATCTTATTTTAACGAGTAGTCATAGGTAAACTAGTTATTTGCAAAAATGACATCGAATAATTGAACCTTTCTAACAATTACTAGAAAGATCATTCAAACTCATATTCAGATGTTTCCATGAAAGTTTTATTACATTTGATTGTAATTTCCTCAGGCAACTCGGAAATATTCATTAAACATTTTTAAAGATCATAATACATTTTTTTTTAAATATAAGAAGGGTCAAAACACGTTTGCAAATTCTGACAGTAAAATACATTACAACATAAAAAAGATAAATAAACAAATCAAAAGAAAAATCACTGTGTTTGCTATTGCTACTAAAATCAGGCTTCGTTGATTACCAATTGATAACAACTTAAATCATATACATATTAATATAAAAGGTTATGCCATTTATATATTAGGTATTTTCGGGAAATTCTGACTTTCGGTTTATTCTCTAGATAATAAAACAGCCAAAAATAATATAGACCGCGAACTTTTGCACATTCTGTGTCAATCACGCACCTGAAACCTAAAGGCACAAAATGATTCTAACAAAAATAATATCACTGCTCTATTTTTTCAATAAATGAAATAAAGAAATGCACTGTTACTAACTCACTGAATTAGAGTCCGTCTCTGTGATAAGAAAATTGTCTTCTAAAGCTGCAGTATTTAGTATAATGGATTCAATTACAATATTGTGAATAAATCCTATGTCCAGAAATGATGTTTTCAATAAAAGTTAATACACAGTTGTTAATAAATGCTATGTTCAGCAATGATATTACAATTCAGCTGTGAATTAACAGCCATTCCGGAGTCAACTCCCGAACGGTAAAATTTGGCAACCACCTCTCTGAAGTCTAGGACGCTACTATGTTTGTGTATGTGACAAAAGCCGTTTTCCTTCAGGAATTGCATTTGACTTAACCAATTTGTATAAATTGTGTCGCTTGGACCAAATGCATTATTAGTTTTAGGATTGAGGCTAATTGTTCTCTTCTCTTTGATCATTGTCACAGTAAATATTGCCGTCCCAACGGGTTGTCTTGACAGAGGGACAGCTTGTCGGTGAATTAAAGAACACTATATGTATGCTTATATGTTTGATGCATACATTTACAGGCCATCTGTACACTTATAAAAGATTATAAATAAATTACTCTTGTATGTTCGTAATTCAATATTTTTAATCACAAGTGAAAGAGAACTTGTATGCTTAAAATCAGTTTAATAGAAAAATCAAATGCAATAACGACTCCTCATATATGCAATCTTCAAATGTTTGTTATCCAATGATCATCATACATTGTTGTTTGTATTCTTAATTGAAATCGGCCAGTCTAGTTATAAGACCTAACACTTATGGAGGTTTTTTTCATATTCGTCCGAAGTATCAATAGAAATGTATTGTTCATGGAAGTTATTTTATGAGCTTTTGCTCTGTAGATTAATCTGTAATTTACCTGACAATATTTGTATACATCTGTATGAACCATCCATGTTAACCAAGAAATACAAGGGAAGCCAATGCATAATTACTTGTTTTATGATTCGTTAATGAAAATAATCAAATTTGGAAAAATGAAAGACTTTGGACATTATTTCATCCTTTGAATCTGCACTAATGCAGCTTTTAAATTTAGGAACATGCTGCTGTTTCTTCGTTACGTAGATAAAAGAAATATCAACAGAGCTTTGATTCAGCGGTGTGTAAATAAGTCTTATCCTTGAAAAATAATGGACTTGGTCCAACCATAATGATTGAGTTGAGGCAATCTTAGGGGAAACTGATTTTGTCTTGTACACAAACATAGGAGTATCCCGAACATCAAAGAGGTGGTAGCAAAGATTTACCATTCTAGGATTGGCTTGTATCAATCCGGAATAGCTGTATGCTATGTTCAGAAATGACATTTTCAATTAAATTTAATACACAATTGTTAAAAAGATATTTTTTCAGAAATAGCATGTCTGATAAAAGTAAATACACAGCTCTTTATCAATGCTGTATTCAGAAATGAAAGTTATAACAAAAGTTTATAAAGTATATATAAAGTATAAATTACTCCGATACATCACTTATCTCGGTATAAAAATGTCATAACATTTACTCCGATATATCAGTAATACTGACTTATCATTAACTCCGATACATCACTTAACTCGACATATCACTTACTGTGACATAACACTTATTCCTACATATCACTTATCCCTCCATATCAGAAACTATGTCATATAATTTACTCCGACATATCAGTAATACTGACATATCTCTAACTCCGATACATCACTTACTTCGACATATCACTACTCCGACATATCAGTCACCCCGACATAGCACTTTCCCCGAAATATCAATTATTCATATATATCAATAACTCTGACTTATTTAATCCGACATATCACATATTCATGCATATCAATATCTCTCACTTATAATTTACTCCGACATTTCACTTATATTTCTACACATCAATAACTCTGACTTACCATTTACTCCGACAAATCACTACGCAGGACATACTCCTTACTCCGACATATTTCTCAGACTGACATATCACTTACTGCTACACATAATTAATTCCACTATTTCACTTACTACGACATATCACTAAGGCTGATATATCAATAACTCCGACATATCAATTACTTTGACACATCATTTACTCCGATATATCTCGCAGCTGATGTACCAATAACTCTGACATAACACTTACTCCGACATACCACTTACTCCGACGTATCACTAACACCTATACATCACTTACTATGCCAGCTCAATAAGTCTAACATATCACTAACTCCGACATATCACTTATTCTATATAACATAACAATAACTCCAGTATTTCACTTACTCTGACATATCAATAATTCCAACATATCACTTGCTTAGACATATCATTTAACTCTGACATATCAATTAACTCTGACATATCAATATAGCTCCAATATTTTACTAACTCTGACCTATCAATAACTCCGACATTTCACTTACTCAGACATGCTAATAATTCCGAGATATCATTTACAAAAATACTCATGCATTTCGAAGAGTTATAGCTTAATAAACGTATGTTTCTAACAAAAGACGACGTTTTGTGTTAAAATGTAAAACTGAAATATAATGAGACAATTGGGTATCAAAAACAAGCTCTGTCAGTTTAATAAAATGTAAAGCTAAGTGTACACTAAAAATATGCAACCTTGCAACTATAAAAACGCTTATTCATAAAATGAAATACGTGTCTCAATGATTTGAAAATATATCAAGAGAACACGACTCAGAATTAACAATATTCCATATTGTAACCACGTGATTCATTTCTAATATGGACGACTAAAAGAGATGTGAATACATTTTGTAAGTAGTTTATCTCTAATGAAATGAACATATGATCAGGTTTGAAGAAAAAAACACAGAGTATGACATGATTAGTTAAACTACTTTCTTGATATTGAACTTTTTCTTATCTTTACATGATTTCCCTCCGAATCCCACCGAACGTTTGTTTTAAGCAAGAATCAATATCACATGACATTTTGATATTTGTTTAATCTTTGGTTTCCGAAATTTCGCATCCGTGAATGTTTTCTTTTAGTGATTGAAAAAAACCTATTTTACCTTCTGAGCCTGTCAGTAACAACCGTTTACATGTACCAGTCATACATTTGTCAGGTAAAATCGTAAATATGTAAAATATTAAGTCAAATATTTTGTATATATATAAAATGTTTTTTTCACGATCACATGACTAGAATAACCATGTCCATGAGCTCTACTCTCAAAACGTTTACTTTAAAATGGGATTCTTATCATGTACAAAATATGAATTCATAAATAACGTTAATTACAAAAACACTCTCAACAGTAAATCAGTAGTACATTGGTTCAAAAGAGTACAAAATCAGCCATGTCCCTTTTTTAAATGTCATACTTAATTATCTTCCCCGACTCGTTGCAGTTCCTTTACCAAACAGTCCACCATACCCTGACACAATCGTTGATCAGGTGTCATGAATGTGTATAATCTTTTCTTAGTTCTCACCAGCAGCGTCTCCAATCCTATAAAAAGTTTTGCAAGTACTTGTTAGTCATCTATTAACGTACAGTATACGAAAGTCGTTATAATTTAACATGACCATAAAAAATTACTCAAATAAAAAAATAAAAATGTGTATTTAAATAAATGAATAATATATCAAAAGCAAAATGATACGTTTCTTTCATAAGTGACAGTTTAAATATTTAGGACAAAACCAAAACGTATTACCGTTGTAGACGGTCCTTTCAACTTTCAAAATGTCTCCCGCTTCGATCTCCCGTGAGTATTTATCATGTAGCTTATTCCAACGCAGTAGGGTTCGAACAGAGTCTCCTTCCTTCCCACGACACACTGAGAGTTGGACAGTGTGATTCCAACCTTTCCTCGTTTGCTTGACAAACTGACCTGTAACAGTGTTCATACCTAACTAAAGTAGTTACCAGTGTAAAGAAATATTTTGCATAAACTATACGATATCAAATTATATGCATCTTTACTTTGGTCTGCATGCTCGCATTTTATACTGCTCATCACTGAACTTTTGCAAGAGAACGAGTCGTGATAGAATGACGTTATAATAATGGCTTTGGTTTATATTGATTTTAAATGACAATTCGGTAATATGGACAATCGGTAAATGAAACGCATTTTGACATTTTATTAGGAAATAATCAGTGAATGATAATTTCATGGCCAGGAAGAGTATTTGCAGTCTTAAAAATGCTTAAATAACTGTTATTTACATGCATTGCCAGAGTTTTGTTATTTTGCTCATGTAATCAAGCTAATGTGAGCTTTAGTTTCATGTTACTTGTGTTCAAAAGAAATATACAATTCTTACCCGATTGGATTGCTTGTTTCTCTTGCCGAAATTGAGTTTTCGACTCAGATTTCTTTATTTGCATGGTTTTCACATTGTCGTTGATTCTTGGTGCTAGGGGAAGTTTCATTACCTCTGTCGTCTGTGCCATCTCCTGTACATTGGAAACAGGGTGATCTATAAAGAATTCTAGTATAAAGACCAAATTCTTCAAGAGAAGACCGGCTTTTGTTTCGTCTATTACCAGTGTGCTGTACTCGAGCTCCAATTGCATTTTCTTGTTCGCTCGATCGTTCCACACTATTAGAACCGTTTCGTGACCATGACCTGGTGAAACGGCTTTCAGTACTTTGACAGATCCGTCATTTGTGTCAAAATTTGCTTTGCCTGAGTCTCTGAAATTCACTTTGTGTCTGAATACAGAAGCAGGATCTACTTTCTGTGCTACTTCTGCTTCTAGTAGTTCCAAAGGAAACAAACTGTTTGCCATGACGGATCGAATTCGTTTTGCATTTTCTGTCAAAAGGTTTTGCAACTGAGTTTCCGACTGGAGTGTCAAAAATAATGGCACGGTGTTTATAAGACACCCTATTTCTTTTTGAAGTTGTGGAAAGTGCATTCTCATGTCTACAACGGTAAGAACTGCTACTGTTTCTATACCGAGTACGGAATGTAGAAGACATTGGTAAGCTGTTACTATCAACTGAAAAAGGGTGATTTTGTTGCTACCAACGAACTGAGTCAACCTGGTGAGAAGCTGTTGTGGAAGCGGTTGGTTCATCGTCGAAACATGTTCCGCATCCAATTTCATTTCGTAAGAAGACAAAAATGACATTGAAGTGATGTTGTCAGGTATATTTTCTTTCCAATATGCTGTCAAAGCTGCGTGTTGCTGGCTGAGACGGTTGTTTACCAATGACACTATGTCTGGTGTTGATGCAACTGTGGGTGGTATTCCTGGTAATTCACTGAGCAATTGCATTTCTTCGACGGCCAACATTACAGAGGTCATGTCAAATGTGATGTGTGAAAATACGATTCTAATGAGAGCTCCGTTGCTTTTATTCTCGAATAAGAGCCTTAGTGGAAGTTGAGATGCCGGATCAAAGGTATACATGTCTAAATCTGAGGGTATGTAATCGTCGGTCATAACGGTCCCTCTTTGAACCTCTCTCACATCTGGTGCTATTTCGTCTTGGGGTAATACTTTTCTGGTATATATTTGATTACCTTCGTTATCAAAGCTGGGAATAAATCGAGTTCGCAACGATGGATGCTTGTTGACAACATGTGTGAGGATAGCTTCCCAAAGATTTTTGTCTGCAAACCTCCCAGACACCTCGAAGTCAACATAGATGAACCTGCGTAGCAAGACAGGATATTTTTCGACATCCTTGAAGTAGTTCTTCTCCATGTATGTAAGACCATTTGTCACTGCTGATTCTGTGTCGACGTTTTCAACATTTCTTGCTTTCCTCTTGTTTCTTTTTATGTAGTTTACTACTTCTCCAATGGTGGTTTCATCAGATAGGAGAAATACAATTGGAATTGTACAGGTTGTGGCGTCATTGATAGTACTCACAAAGGTCATGGCGACCATGGAATCTATTCCTAGCTGCGATATTGGAGTAGATCTGTCCATCAGGTCGGCGCCCACAGCAAACACTCGTGATGCTACATCTATCACAAAACCTGTGATACCCTCATCGCTGTCCAAGTCGATACTGTTCTCTGTTGCTGCCTGAATGTTACCTCTACTTGTGTTACCGATCACTCTTTTAAAACGTTTTCTCATTCTGTCCAGGGACGCATCTGAGAATTGTCTGTTCACGAAAGACCATTTGAATACACCAGCTATTATTTGATTGCCCTCTGACATGATCATTCTCTCAAGAGTGTCAATGATCTTTGTGACGCCAAGAAACATGTATCCAATTTTCTCCAGTTCTTCATTGGCTGTGGCCATTCCAACAGATAGTGGTCCCCAGTTGACACTCAATCCAGGTAGCCCATTTGTAGCTCTGTAATGTGCTATTGAATCCATAAAGGCATTTCCGGCACTGTAGTTACTTTGGCCTTTATTTCCAAACACGGAGGCAATTGAGGAGTGAAGAATGAAAAAGTCGAGATCATATCGTTTGGAAACGGTATGGATATTCCAGCTCCCGAGGACTTTAGGCAGCAATACCTTTCTGAGGGTAACATGAGTTTGCTTTGTGAACAAGGCGTCATCTAGAACAGCTCCGCCGTGGAATATTCCTTTCACGTTTTGCTTTCCAAACATGCAATCGATCATATCAAAAGCTTCTTGAAGTGATTTGACATTTGTTATGTCTGCTGGAATCGCTTTTATAATCGCCGAAGTAGTTTCTTCCAGTTTTGCTATTTTCCCGAGGGTGTTGTTTTTTGGATGCGATCTTGATAGAGTGACGATTCGTCCAGCGCCAGACTGAGCAAGGTACTTGACAATTTCCCAACCTAAACCTGTTAAGCCACCTATAATTATGTAGCAACTGTTTCTCCGGAAAAGTTGTTTTTTCTTTACCTTTACTCTTTTGATTCTCTGTTTTGTTTCTTTCAAATCCACAACTGTTGCAGCTGTCGTTGCGTTTTCGTCAGAGTTTTTCATCTTTGGCAATTTCTTACGAAGCCATTGGGCAACTTTAGGGACTGTTTCACTGAGAAATTTTCTATCGAGCATTTCCTCGCTCCTTAGTATCCTGAATGAGACTGCATCGTGGTTCTTCTTTGCTGACTGCCAGTCGGATTTTGTCGTAAACATATCAATTGACAATAAGGTGTGTACACCCTCAACTCTGATCAATATGTTTTCCAGCGTCGTGATATCTGAGGTTGTTAGAATCACAACGGTAGAAGCTGCTTTGCAGTGATGGTGACTGTCAGAATTCAGGAAACTGTCTAGAGATGCTATGGTTACCTGACTTGCCACCGGTTTCGAGAGCATCGTGCGTAGTACTTCACCGGAAAAAACATTTTGGTCAGTAAGAATGAGCGTTTTCCCTTTGAGGATATGATCCTTCATCGGCCATAGAAGAGAAGACATCCGTAAGAGCCCTGGTTTGTAATTTGGGAGGTCGTCAATTCTCATCGTGCAACCTTCTGGCACCTCAACTATACTTTGCAAGCTGAATATCGAGCACGAAACATACGTTCCTTCTATCGATTTTTCACTGGAATGTTTGATAAGTTTGCCAGAAACCTCAAATGTGATAATATCGAATCCATCGCCTTTTTCCTTTATCCATACTGGAATGTCATTTTCTGCAGATTGCAATGTCAACGGAAACATTTTCCAGTCATGCAAGACAGCTGTTTCGACTTCCATTAGTAGCTTGTCTAGTTTTGTTTCAGGATTTTGAAGTAAGCAAAATTTCTCCTGAATATCATTTGGACTATATGCTTTCACATGAACCTGATCAGTATTTTCAAGTGATATCCATCTATATTCTCCCGGCTGATCCTGTAATTTGACCAACCGGTTAGAGTACATAATCCTTTCGGTAACTAAAATTTCAGCTTCAGAGCAAAGCTGAGGAGCCTGGAACACAAGTAGGTCCCTGATGGAGGAACAGCAAAGCTCTAGGGAAACATGTCTGTCAATCAAAGTTAGTAGTAACGGATACTCCAGAACTATCGTCCTCGTCATTCCCCATAATTCGGATCCTATGACATTTTTCACACAGTTGTGCGACTTATCAATCGACTGTGTTCGTTCAGTAATAATGAGAACCGGTATTTCCCTTTTCATTTTCACCAGCAGCTGACATATTTGCAGCAATGTAGAAGCATTTTGAAACACCCTCCGCATGACATCTTCTCCGGTAAGTTTTTCTAGCTTTTCATCTTTTTCAGCTGACAAAATAATCGACTGCACAACTTGCGTATTCTTTTGTAAGTGACATGTCAGAATGTCTTCGAAATGTGTGTCATACGTTGGAATATGAAGAAATGACATCTCTTTGATTTCCAAACCAAGTATTTCTGCATCGTCAGGTTTACTAGAAACTACGATCGAGATGAGAGGTACATCTGACACATTACGATCAACTATTTTGACAGCTTTCTTTTCTATTTCCTCCCATTGTAATTGGTACATGCATTCTTGTTCATCCGTATCAGTAGCTCCAATGCAAAGAATAAAAAGGTTTCTCACCTCTGCTACAACTCTTCCATCTTCTGTCAAAAGTAAAGCGTTGTATCGTATTATGTCTTTTGTTTGGTATACCAATGAGGTAAAAACAACCATGTTCTTCTCTGGTGTTTGCCGGATCACAATGCTTTCAATCCCTCCTGGCAGAGGTGTAGTACCGGCGTCGACCTCTAAATCCAAGATCACAACTGTTTGCAAAAGACCATCCAATATCGAGGGATGCAAGTTTGTAGAGCTGATATCTTTGAAAATGGAATCGGACACTGTCATATTGACAAGACATTCAGCATCAGACTTAACACAGTCTCTCAAAATTTGCAAATCCTTGCCATATCCAAACCCAAGTCTGTTGAGATTCTGGTAGGTTTGCGAGGCCGATTGATATGTTTTGCATCTTTTTCGAATCGTTTCTAAATCTACCGTGTCTAGGTAGGCCATCTTTCTCTTGCATATTTGACATTCGGCGACGATTTCTTTGTTTTTGTAAATGCTCATGGACAGTTCGTCTTGGAACTTCTTGACGGATACCTCCGCTGTGCAGGCTTCCCCTTTTCTTAAACTGAGTGGTTTGATGAATTGTGCTGCGATACTGATATCTTTCTGGCTTTGGTTCTTGAATGTTGCCTTACAAACCTCTATAGCAACGTCGATATAAAACGCACCAGGGACCAGGATAGTACCGGAAACAACGTGTTGATACACGAACCAGGTTGTTGATGGCGATATATTAACTTTAAACTGTATTTCGTCACCTCCTGATCTTTCCACGAAAAGATGATTTGGACCAGTGGATTGAACTCCATCGTATTTTAAAGTAGTTGCATCTGATTGGAAAAACAACTTTGCCAGATTGAATAGTGATTTTGGAATGTCTGTCAGATTGCCATCAGCTACAACATGTAGCCAGTGTGGGTCGATACCGTGTCTGTATAGTTCCATCAGGGAAAGCTGCATCATATTCCATTCTCTCCCCGCAGTAATAGAAGGTAACGAAGTAGCATTCTGGTTTCCGACTATATCTCCAAGATGGAAACGCAGTACAGGCCTTGGTCCTATTTCCAAGTAAATATTGAAGTTTGTCTTTACATGTGCCCTTGTAATCGCGTGCTGGAATAAGACAGGCTGTCTGACGTTTTTCCTCCAATATTCCGAAGAAGCAAAATCCTTCTTGTTTGCTTTTTCTCCCGTGACTGTTGAAATCAAAGTGCACTTAGGTTCTGATCTTTTGAGTCCAGTTAGGCTGATTTCTAATTCTTCACTGGCAGTCTCCATGTGGTGACTATGGTAGGCGCACTGCACATCTAGACGACGAATGTGAAATTTGTCTTCGATGCGTGTGTCATTTCTCAGAACGTGTATGACTTCATCAATGGCATCTGTATCCCCTGATAGTGTGCATGATTTTGCACTATTGTAAACAGCAATGTTAACTTTGTCTTTGTACTTCTTGCAAACACTGGCTACAATAGCGACGTAACAATTACTGATTACAAGCATTGATCCTCCAGTAGCTTTTGCCAGCATAACCGACCGTTGGTAAATGACCTTGACCGCGTCTGCAAGGGACAGGACACCAGCTGTATATGCCGCTGCCACCTCCCCAACTGATTGTCCAACAATGATATCTGGATATATTCCAAAATGGTTCCAAAGCTTGGTAAGTGCAACTTGACACGTGAAAATTGCCAGATGTCCTTTCAAAGGATCTAGGGCATCAAATCCGTCTGTCATCATTTGGAGTATCGACCATCCAGCTAAGGGCGTCAGGATATTGTCTATGCTTTTGACTGTGTCTTTGAATATATGTTCTTTCTTCAGTAGTTCCTGACACATCCCTGTCCATGTCGTGCCGACGCCACAGAATACAAAGATTACATTCGGTCTGGAAAAACCTGTTGGTTTCAGTGATGTAAGTGTATGTAGTTGCTCGTCGCACCCTCTTTCAACGTCTTCTTTTGTGCATGCTTGCAATGCAACACGGTATGGATAATGGTCGCGTCTGCATGTTGATGTATACGAAACATCTTCTACACAATATTTCGCTTTGTGTATGTTTCGTTTCAGATGGAATAAGTTGTTTTTAAGAGACGTAATATCACTACCCGAAATAGTGACGATATGATTTTCTTTTTTACTCTTGAGTTCCTTGACAGCCGTATAATGGTGTTGTTTGATGATCGCATGACTGTTCGTTCCTCCAAATCCAAATGAATTTACACAGGCTACTCTTCCTATCCCTGTACATGGCCATGATGTCATATTATGTGGAACGACCAACCAATATTTTTCAAATTCGATATTTGGATTAGGATTTTTAAAGTGTAGGGACGGAACAATATTACCGTGATCCATCATCAAGAGGACCTTGATTAGTCCGGCTACTCCAGCAGCGGACTCCAGGTGGCCTATGTTCGTCTTCACCGACCCAAGGAAAACATTTTGCCTATAATGTCCTCCCTGCTGTTTTTCAGCAAAGAATTTTCCAAGTGTATTCGCCTCTATCGGGTCACCAACAGGAGTTCCTGTTCCTGTTAACATTACAAAACGTTTTTAAAAATGATAATATAAAATTCATATATATATATATTAATTTCTTGGCAAGCAATGATATATTTTTAAAAATACACCATCCTTTTTATCCAACTATAAAAGGACATCTTCATTCAGAAAGCAGGACGCTGCCATTCTTTCCATTGTATTGAATAGCTAGCAACTTACCATGCGCCTCAATATAGGAGATGTCTTCAGGATTAACGCCTTTATCAGCATAGAGTTTATGAAGGAGATTGCGTTGCTGGAGACCGGAGGGAGCAGTGATAGGTGTCATTGTCCGTCCGTCTTGATTGCATGCTGTTGCTATAGACGCCCATATCTTGTTGCCATCAAGTAATGCCTGAAATGCAACGGCGCAACTTTTTCATTTTTTAAATTTCTATTCCATATACTTGACACTATGAAGAAGATACGGATTTGCCTGTCCGTCCGACTTTCCTTCTATCCGAATGCCGTCCGTCCCAAAATTTTGTCCGAGGCATACCATATATAACATTTCATCTGGAACAGCCATATTTATGTAGGTACATCTTTATATTGAGGAGTGTCAAGTGCAGACAGGACCTGTGACATAGGGTTTGACCTTTGACCTCAAACTTTAAAACGTTAGTCTGGGCATATCTTCTAAACTATGTCACCTGGAGTAACCAGATATGGAATGCAAGTATATCTTGGGATAGCAGAGTGTCATAGTACAATGCTTTGACCTTGTCCATATCTTCAAATTTGGTATGCATGTATTTCTTAGCTGGGAGAGTGTAGGGTACAATAATTATATCACGGTTTACCTATATACCGAGATAAGTGTATAGGTTGCTAAATAAAGAAATCATTACCGGTGGGAGACAATGCGTTGCCCTTCAATAATATGCCTTGTTTAACATGACATTGTAATACATGTAGTTCGGATTCAGCTTAAACTGGTTTCATCGTACGTGTGAACATATAAACACTACAGAACAGGATAGATACTGTTTACATCCATATACTGTTTTAAGGTTGCATTACGTCAAAACGATACACTGGATTCAATATCTATAAACGGACAGTACATATTGGGATAATGTGGTGTATGTGATCCTTTTAATCTCATATACAAGTGTAGTTCAAGTTATAGGCTGTGATGTTTCGGAAAGATAACAAATTAAAGTAACCCTTGTATGACATCACCATCAGTAGACACATTCTCCATACGAAAGCAGTTGCTGCGTGGTAGCACAATCCTAAGTAAACAAACAAATTATTGGAATCGTTAAGACATGAAATTAAATGCCTACCTGCTTTTTGGTTTTTAAAATGACAATTCCACATCCCTCTCCTCTTGCGTAGCCATCAGCTTTGTCAGAAAACGTCTGACATTGCCCAGTAGGTGATACCATCCGGGCTTTGCTGAGTGGAACAAATATGTCAGGGTATAGGATACTGTTGACACCGCCACAGATGACAGCATTGCATTCTCCTGTGGTACATAACGTTACTGTTAATACGGAGCCCTTGAGGATATTCTGATATATGTTTTCCTCAGCAGAAAACAAAAGGTTATTTTTTCAAGCATTAATAACTCCCTCAAAACCATATCATCAAGCGTGTATGATAAATGTGTTTAATATTCTTGTTGGGTATCATGACCTGATTAATATCGGCCAAAGAAATAACAACGTTTTCCTCGTAAAATACAAATAAATCTATGATGAAAAATGCTCACCTGTCTTTAGGGCCTGTGAGCCTATATGGATAGCTACCAGTGCTGAGGAACAGGCGGTGTCAAGGGTGATGGAGGGTCCCAGCAGGTTGTACGTGTAGGATACTCTTGCCGACGCGATGCTTGGTGACGTCCCTGTTAGGCTGTAGTTATTCATCGTTTTCAGATCAGTGCCAGTGCCACCCTTATAGTCATCATTCATCATACCTGACGTCACAGCATAAACAAATATTATATAGGATATTTGTTACTTTATTTCTTTATGTGTTTTTTGTCTAAAGAGCTCCATACTAATATAACAAAATTGTTTGTTTTGGTTTTTGTTTTCAAAAAAGCTCATTTTGACTGGTATATACATCGGAGAGAAGACAATAGCACACAAAAGTTTGCTATTTTCAGATAGGCCTTATTAAAAAAAAAAATGACCACATAGCCTTCAACGTTGAAAACAGAATCAGCTCCCAGAGTGATGCATGGATATAGTCACAGTGGAATCAGAATAAATACATGTTTACTACAGCTGTCTTTATACAAACACATCCAAGTATTCTACATTTTGAATTATATCTTAAACTCTGTCTCCGAACAGGTGTAAAATACCCATTTATGGTAACATTTTAGCACTACTATAATGGTCTCGATGATTGTACATTGTACCTTCGTTTGTCTTACGGTATAATTATTAACGTCTATAAAAAGGCCGTTTTATGCTGCTTTAAAACTTTTCTAAAACTTAAAAAAATCAATGCTAGTTAGAAACACATCTGAAATGTACAATACAGACCCTTTATTCTAATGTAGTGAAACGTCAAACCCATGTAAACGCCTGTGTTGTACCCTTGGATGTACTGCCTATAGACAACACTGTGCAAGTCATTGATAACATGCCTATTTATACCCTTGTATAATTCCCCTGTGTAAATCATTGATACCCTGCCTATTTATACCCCTGTACAAGTCATTGATACCCTGTCTATTTATACCCTTGTGTAATTCCCCTTTGTAAGTCATTGATTCCCTGCCTATTTATACACCTGTGCAAGTCATTGATACCCTGCCTGCTATATAAACCCCTGTATTGTACCCTTGAATGAACTGCCTATATCATACTCCTGTGTATGTCATTGATTCCCTACCTATTTATACCCCTGTGTAAGTCATTGATACCTTAACTATGTTTACCCCTGTGTAAGTCATTGATACCTTAACTATGTTTACCCCTGTGTAAGTCATTGATACCCTGCCTATATATACCCCTGTATTGTACCCTGCGTAATTCATTGATACCCTACCTATTTATACCCCTGTGGAAGTCAGTGATACCCTGCCTATATTAACCCCTGTATTGTACCCATGGATGAACTGCCTATATCATACCCCTGTGTAAGTCACTGATCCCCTACCTATTTATACCCCTGTGTAAACCATTGATACCCTACCTATTTATACCCCTGGGTAAGTCATTGATACTCTATGTATACCCCTGTGTAAGTCATTGATACCCTACCTATATCATACCCCTGTGTAAGTCATTGGTACCCTATCTATGTATACACATGTGTAAGTCATTGA